TACGATATTGTTTCAGTTAACGATGAGTGAAATACCATGATAAATAAATTGAACGAAGTAAGACAAACGTTCATAAGAATGCATAACGATTTTACAAGAGTCAACTCCATCGAAAGTGCAAAAACGATTTATTATAGTTGGAACACGTATATTCAAAATTGATTTCATGATGATGCATTTTTCATGTACCGAACAAAAACATCAAGATATTTGGCAATGCTATTCGCACAATGGATCAATCACTATTACCCCCAGGTTCAGGGCTGCCACCAGGACTTCCAAAAGAAGTAGTAGGTAGAACCTATCAATGTGAAAATGATGATGAAAATGAACAGACAAAACAACAACCAAAAATTGAAAAGTAACCCTTCTTTAAGTAGAAGTCAAATATTTCACATATATTTTTATTTATAATAAAATAAACTTTTACACAATAGATTTAAATCATGATATGAGTTGAAAAGGATGAACATAAGACATTTGAATATTATTGTTGTGAACTTAATTATCTGTTGTAGTTTCGTTAAGAAAGCAAAACTCTCCTTAACAATATTAAATCTTTCATGTTGATTCTCATTATAAAAAATAAAATTATTACAAGTATCATCTTGAAAGAAAAAATCATAGTCATTAAATATCAACAGATCAATAAAATTTTCGATTTCTTCTTCTTTAACTTCATTTTTTTGTACCTCAACTTCTTTACTCTTGGGGTAATTAGCATTTAAAAAATTTGTCCATTCTTCGTTAAAATGCTGAGATGCCTTGAAGAAGATCTCTTCGAGGATTTCTTTTTCTTTTTTTAATTTTTCGATGATATCTTCAAGCTTCTTTTTCTCTTCGATAGTGTCATTATAAAGTTTTTTGTATTTTTTTTTTTTTGTTTAATATATGGCTTACAATCAGTATAATTAATAAAGGAAGATTTTTTTTTGGCATTTTTTTTTTAAAATCAAAATTTAAGTTTTTGATGATATAAATACTTAATATGATTTTAAACTAATTTTAACTAGAACCAATCATCTACCGTTCTGAATAGAATAAACTATGTTGGGGAAAAAGCCATATTTTTCATATAATCTGTGATGATCTTTTGTAACTTTCTCTAGAACTCATCAGTAACCTTATCAGGATCGATGCTCTTTTTCATTTTCCTTTTTTGAGGTTTCTTTTTTCCTTTTCGAGTATTTTTTTGACTACTATTTTTAGATTTATTATTTGATTTTTTAGCAGATAATTTTTGTTGCACATGATGATCCAGAAGATATGTGTAGGCTTCGACTAGCCTACAAAAATTCTCATAAGCTTGTTTGCTCTGATCCTTATTGGGATGAACTCTGATCGCAAGTTTTTTGTATGATCGCTTAATATCATCAATACTTGAAGTTCTTTTCACTTTTAGAATATGGTAATAGGCTTGGACATTTATCTTTGGCATGATCTTAAAAAATAGATTACTGAAATATGAATGAATATCCTTTAAATACCATTTAAGGAAAATTCTTAGTTGGTATTGGTGGCCTCTTGAACTTTGCGTATAATCTGGTTAGTGATAACATCTAATATGACACCTATTAAATGATAAGAAGAAACATCTGGAACATAAGAAATCTCTATTAAGCTACCGGAAAAAAATGCTGGCACATCAGATTCACTACTATTGTTATCTATGGTATGGCCAAATGAAATTGCATCTTTTCTTTCATCAGCCACACGCAACTGATACATCCAATCGAGATAATCGATCAAAATTAAAAACTGGTAATTGCCAATATCATAGATAGAAGTATTATTCTCATTACTAGTCATACATATCTGTTTTTCACCTTTTTTAAATGGTCGACATATTGTGATAACATGATCTTGTAACGTACAAGTAGTGTTGCAATCTAAAGTCACATGATACTCCATCAAATTTTTGAAATTCCTTGAAAGCTCATAATCCCTGATGTTTTTAGGATCCAAAAGAACATCATCTGTATTGAGCTCTTTTTTCACTGCCAAATTTGCTCACATAAATGAACAAGATAAAGGTGCATCCTTAATAGGCCGAGCAAAGCTCGCACCCAAAATTCTTCTCGATTTACATGTATGGGTAAACTATCAACCGTATTGCGTGTGTGAAATGTCACAAGTCTGAGTTGAATCGAGACATCACAAAGCTCAAGATACTTAAGCTGCTCATGATTCTGCAAAAGAGTATATGAATAGAATCACTGATCAAGAATCTTATGGTCTTCTTTGGTTGGAAAAAATGAAATTCGATCAATAGCCGTGCTGCAGGGGCGTTGAACATGACACGCGTTATAATCTTTCTCATCACCACAAGAACCTATTCGACAAATTTTTTTTTTAGGAGAACTAGAGATATTGGCTGTTAATTTTCACTTTCGAACTGGTTTTTTAGAAATATTAGTTTCATTTTCTTTGATGACAATTTGTTCATCCATTTAAATTAAAATACAATTGTATTTCCAAATAAACATTATTTATATATGAATTTACATAGATTTTAGTATAAATAAAAATATATAAATACAATTCTCTATTTTTATTTAGTTTAAAATGGTTTGCTCAATGCCAAAAATAACCTCTAAAAAAAGATACATAAATCATTTTAGCAAAATGTCTTTTGCTAGCACTTTAAATGTTGGGAAACAAAATACCAAAGGAAAATTAAAACACGATCATGATGTTCAAGAATTTGAAAATCTGCCATTTAAAATTAAAATCGAAACGATTTAGGAAAAACATAACGTCGCAAGATTCTTTTTTTTAAACAAACTAAATGAAAAAATCAATATTCCCGAAGGTATCATCTGTATAGACATTACATACAAAAGAAAAGAACCGCAATATCCGATGCCTGATATGCAATATTATCTGATCGAATATCTGATGAAGTATGTAATTTATTACGACCCTGTAAAAAAGAAAAGCAATACAAAAACAAAAATCTACTCTATCAATTCTCAAAAAAAATACATCATTCATAATTTTAAGAAAACTAGCAAAACATTAGGAAACTAATGAAAAGATTAGATAACGCATGCGATTAATATTATTAATAGAAGTTGATGATTGTGATTCCATCAATGAAATGATATCACACAAAATAATGTAGTGTTTTTTTTTTCATATTCAGATTAATATAATTGATATAATTAAATATTTTATGTTAAAATAAAATTTAAAATCAAATAATTGTAAAATTGATTTGTAATTATATAAATACCTACAATTATCGTTTACCACTTTGATCGTTCTATTTTTCCTATTTTTTAAAAATAAATTGCAAAATTTACACATGTTTACATAAAATTTTAATAACCAAAATATTGGTTGTTAAAATTTCATACTATTATTATATTTGGAAAAATTATATAACATCAGAATTCGGAGATTCCAAATTCATTTGTTTAAAATGAAGCCGACCCAATACACAGAATTACCAAAATTTACTTAAAATTTTTAAATTAATATAAAATGCCTTCATTTTTTTTTACCGTCAAAAAATTTTTACTTTCAAAATCATTAAGCTAACAAAAATATAACAAAATAGTCTTTTTCCTCGCTACTCCAAATCTTGCTGGATATTCTTATTTAAATCTTTTTAAAGAAGAATTTCATTCTGAAATAGCTGAAATATATAAAGAAGGTCCAAGTGTGAAGAGAGTAGTTGAGATTGTAGTACAAAATCCCAACTATGATATGCTATATTCAAAAAAAGGCAAACCAACAAGGTTTGACGAAATGCAATTATTTAATATTGAAAAAGAAGATGAAAGTGAATGGGAAAACACGAGTGGGCAAGAATGGTTTAATGTTAAAGAGTTGTTATTTTTATTTGAAGAAATTTTCAAGAATATAAATTTATGTAATTTTGTATTTACTTGTATATAATTTACTCAAATAATTTAATAAAATTTTATATGATTTAATCTATATTGAAATGCTACTTGCCATAATGACAAATTTTTTTTTCTTGTTTTCAAGAAAATATAATATATATTTATAATTATTTAATAGAAAATATAGAATGAAAATCAACAAAAAATTAAATTTCCATCGATAAAATAGTATCATTATTTTTAACAATTTTAAAGTAAACAATATTTTAAGTTAAAACAAAACAATTTAATCCATCATTATCTCTGTTTAAATTAGATTCTTTGAAATTTTCCTGATTTTCAGTTTGGTAAAAACATTAATATCCTTCCACATTAATGACACCATCGTAAAAGATATAGACTCTTCTTGCATACTTACTTGTCATTTTAATAAAAAATCCGAATCCTTGACCTTTGATGTTGTATTTTAATTCCATGCTAAAAAATTCGTCATTAATATAATTATATTTTTAAATAACTTTTAATATTGAAAATACCTTTGTGAAGAATATAAATTTTCGAATAAATTCATTTTTTTTATCTTATTTATTTAAATATAATTTAGGAAAATCTTTCTTTATATAGCTTTATGACTCAAATCTAAACATCTAACTTTGAACATACTCTATTAAGGTAAATAGAATAAAAATGGATTTAGACTTGAAAATAAATATCAATAATCATCCAGTTTACAATTAAATCAAATCTACGCTAATTTTTACTTTTTATTAATACCAGTAATAATTGTTAAACTTCGAACTTACTTAATTTTAAATATTCCTTGTGTGGAAAAGATATTTTTTCAACAATAAAAAATAAATATTTAATAAAATAAATCTTAAAAACATGTATATATATTTATTTTCAAGTATAAGAATCATATTTATTATAACTAATTTAGACTATTCTTTGCTAAATATTATATAGAATTATCATTTATTGTTTCAATTTCATGATCTGATTCAATTCGATGTTTCAATCGCTTGTTAGGTTTTCTTTGTGCTGCAGTAGTGCTAGATTCAGCCATAGACTGTTGACGACTGTAATCTGAATTATCATCAAAATATGATTCAGTTTCGGATTCAGATATATGTTTTTGAGATCTTTTACCTGATGTGGTTGAAGATAAAACTAATTGTGATTGTTGTAAAAGCTCTTGTTTGTAGTCAGAAAGCTCACAACATCTAGAATAATCACATAGATAATTCTTCTTGAACTCACGAAAACAACGACGCCAGTAAACCTGATTCTGTTTTATGATCACCTCACCATCTTGCTCTTGATTTAAACCTTGAACTATAGTTTTTAGCTCGTCAACAGTAAATTCACCCTTACAATATTTAACATCCCAATTCATGTTATGAAAATCTTTCTCTGAACTCTTGTGAAATATAAGCTCAGTAGTGCATTGGTCTATATCATTCCACTTCCCTGTAAACTTAATTATAAAATCAAGACGACAATAAAACTGATCCCAATCTCGTTGAGTAAATGATTTATTATTAACATGATTACGACGAAAATTAAAAGCTTCCTCTGGAGGCTTATGAGATGTCATAAATACATATTTAGCTAGAAATGGAATAAATCCTTTGTGTTTTTGCTCAACATCCTCTGGAGTATCGTTAAGATATTTAACAATGTCATTCCAATCAATATATGTATACCACTCATCAAAAAGAACTATCTCATATTTGTTATATTCATTCCACCAATTAGAACCTGATTTTTGTTTTTTTGGCTTGATATATAATTCACTTGATAAAAGCTCAGATACTATTCCTGATTTATCTGCATCACCTATTTCATAATGTAAAATGTAACAGGACCTCTATATTTTTAATTATTATTATATTAGTAATATTAATACATACCAAGAATTTAAAAAAAAATAAAATTACCAAATTTTCTTAAGCTTTTCATTCAAAAGTTTTTCTTTCTGTTCCTCAAGAAAAAAAAGATCTTGCAAAGAGCACAATCAAAACCGAGGAAGCTTTTCTTTAATATCATCTAATATCTCTCGAGTAGAAATACCTTCTTCAACAATTCGCTCTACAGATTAGAATCTTCAAGATACCATTTCTTAAATCCATCAAATTCTAACACTTCTTTAGAAGCAGAAAGATTACAGTAACTTCCAAACTTCCAAGGTTCAACCATGTTTTGTAGCAATTCAAAATCATCTACGTTGCGCCAATGGGCTAATGTACGCTGTTCAGAACACTCTGCAGTACAAGCATTACATGTTTTGTATCTATCAAAATAGTCACAGTGACAATTCTTTGCCTGCAAAGGATTCTTACAATGATTCCAAAGTTTCATGCTATAGTCACGATTTTGCTCTGAATCGCCATATAAATGCAAAGGAAAACTCATACCACGATGACCAAACATAATTTTAACCTGCTTCATTGTCTTTCGATCTTTAAACTGAAAATAACACTGCTCATGAAATTGACCAGTTGAAGTAGGCTCTTATTGTCCATTAGAATAAGTAAGCCCCTTTGCTTTTAACGCATCAAATTCTTGCTCAGTACAAGGTAAAACGCGCTTACATTCAATACCAAGTGCTTGGCACGAAGAGCAAACAATACTATTACATTCGCGAATCTTACAACACTTCGAACATTTATTATCTTTACATCGCCAATGATTCTTTTGACATTTAAAACACAAAGGAACTTGATAATTAGCTCCTTCATACTCTTCTTCACGAGCTCTTTTATTGCGCTGTGAAACAGTTTTTTTTACAAAAAAATGTATTCATACAGGGAATGCAATAGAAAACAGTAACCATGATATGATTAAAGTGATAATTATTTTTGCTCATTGTGCTTTTTTGTCATGTAAAAAAAAATCACCCATTATATAATTTTTTATTAAATAATAATAATTACATAATAATTAATAATCATTTCTTAATATTTTTAAAATATTGACATTTTACCCTAATACATTCCGATCTGTTTTTTCTATTTACACTTATTCTATCACAATCGGGGCATTGATTAAATTCATGATTTTGCTTTAAAAAATGATCCATATAATAAAAAAGATCCTTTTCAGAATAAATATCTAAAAGACGACCATGTTTATAATACACGCTAATATTTTCATGAACACACCAATACAATTTTACATTTTTGCAATTTTTATATGTAGTAAAAAATTTTTGAACTTGAGAAATATCAATAATTCTCAACTGAAACTTATTACCAATACGCAAAAGATTCAAATTCCAATGATTATAGAAACCACAACGATTAAGATTCTCATCGATTAGATTGAGAAATGGATTTGGTTGATTAATATCAGAAGCAAAAAAATATCGACCCCAATAATAATTAAAGTTTAATTTTCTACAAAAAGGATATGTATTAAAATGACCAGTTCTTTCTTTTTCATTAGCTGTTGCTTCATTATCCTTAAGGTATTTTCGCAAGACACATTTTAAAAAAATATCAATCACATTGTTATTATTGATATTTTTCACATGAACAATTCCACGTTCATTAATATAAAACTCATATTGATTGTTGTGAATATATTTTTTAAAAAAAACTTGCGGATCTTGCAATCGTAAAGATTTATCTACTAACAAGTTCTTGATAGAATTTTTGCATTCCATGTTAAGAATTAAGTTAATATTTTTTATTGACATGCGTGTGTATTTATATTTTTCAATTACCCAATTCATAAAATGCTTTTGGTCATACGTAGAATGGACCAAAAATGATAATTCAACATTACCCGATTTGTAAAATGCTTTTGGTCGTAGAATGGACCAAAATGGTAATTCGAGCTGATAAGTATAAAATTTAAAATTGTTCAACAAAGTCATTTTTGTAGAATTTATTTATTTTATATTTAATATATAATAATTTTTATTAAAAGTGAACTGCTATAAATTAACCATTCTACCAAATTGATATTTGTTATAAAAAATAAGCCTGATTTTCTAAAAAATATAATTATTGAATTCTATATTAACACATGATAATATTTGAATTAATCATTCGTTTGTTTGTAGGGAAGAACAAATCAGCGATTTTGAACAAAGTGATCAAAATCTTTTACCAAAGACTATGAAAAATACAAAGAAAAAAAAAAAGAAAGACAGAAAAAGAAGAGAAGAGAAAAAAGAACATGAACAAGAAAGAACATTCTTTAAAAATATGATGGAAAGAAAAAATCAAATAATGGTATTTAATCTTTATTTTAAAAATAATAATTTTAATAATTGTTATTAATTTTTTTATAATTATAGGAAAGAAAAGATGAAAAGATATATACTATTGTTTTCTGTTTGATAATGGTTTTGCTATTAACAATTTTGAAAGATTACGAAAATTCTATTATGATGTATATAATTATCATAATATGTTTATTTAAAATTTATTTTAAATAAAGACAAAATTGCCCACTTACCATATTTAACTATTAAAAAGAAATATTATTATTTGATAAGTGTAATACAGAATAATTGACTTTATTAAATAAGTTATTAGATAATTAATATATTACATTTTTTCCTGTTGCTCTTGAGTCTCAATATCAATAATCATTTTTTGAATACTATCGTTAATTTTAGAATACAATTCAAGATGTTTATTACAATTAATGCCTACAATCTCAGAACTATAATTTACAGAAAACATCTCTATCTTATCAAACCAAAAAATTGCTTCCCATTCTTTTGTTTCAGTATTTTTAATATATAATTGAAAATTATTCAAATTATTTGATAGAACAAAACAAGGAATTCCATCGAATTCATGTGATTTATACATATCCCCAGCACATATATTCTTAATTCTATATTTTTTTGGAATATTAATAATTTGTCCCTTCATACTTAAAAAAAATTACCAACACATTGGCGTCTCTCTTTTCAATTACAATATACTTGTTCTTATTTACAAGTTTAAAAATACGACGTCCAGCTTGTTGACTCTTGCCCATTGAAAAAGTTCCATCTTTAGACATTTCCTTATTAAATTTATAAAACTTTGATAAATACGAATGATATTGATATAAATGTTTTTTCATTTTAGATTTGGAATTTAATTCAACTTACTGATTTTGCAGTGTTTTTATATTTTTTTTTTAAAAATAGAGAATTAAACAAAAACTTCTTACCATAAACATTTACTATTAGAAATTTAATATCTGCTACCGTTATAGCTTTATTTAAATATATCAGAAAAAACTGGAATGCCGATCATTTGGTGGTTTTCAAAAACCACTACATGATCGACATGTGGCCGGAATGCCGATTGTTTGGCCCAAATTATGGCATTAAAAAAAAACAAAAAATCACGATTAAATAATATATAGTAAAAAAAAATTTTTTTCTGAAAATACAGGGCCAAATATTGATCTTTTGGCCCGAATTAACCTCGACCAAAAACTACTATTATATAGATAGAATTTCGAAGTTGTCGATCATCTAGTTTGTTCCGTTCCGTTCTGGCTTTTTCTAAGTTACAAAAATGACCATGACGGACACCCACGTGCAAGCACGCGATTATCCGTCTAGTATTTTTGAGAGGACTGCGTAACATTATTAAGGGCCTTCGCCATGTTTAATTAACGCTACACTTTACCAAAATAATAAAAACTTACATAAATTAACAACAATAAAAATTAATTTTTTGAAGATCTTTTGTTTTGTTGATTTCCCCTTTTTGCAGCACCAAGCCTAGTTAATCAATAATATTTTTTTAATATTATCAATCGATAATAATTTTTTTCTTATTTTATCAATCACTAACTAATAATACAATTTGATTTTATAAATTTGTAATAATAGTTTCTTCAAAAAATGAAGAATTATCAAGATGTAGCATTGCAGAGTATTTAATTAGCGATGTGGAAAATTTTCAGCTTGAAGCGGTTGCCCTTCTTGAAAAGTAACGCAAAAGCTCTAGCTATTGTAAAATAAAAAAAAAGTTCAAGAGTAAGCGATTGTTATTGCTTATTATTTGAAACCAATAATGATGATGTGTTCTGGATTACTGCAATTGCAAGAGCTGCATTTTCAGAAGTTGTAGTTTCTACCCTTTCAAGTGAACACTACGCATTTTGCTTGCAGTATGCAACATATTCTTGAATCCTAGATCCAAGAGTATTATATGCAATAAGAAAAATATAAAACATTGTATTGAAAAGTATCTTGCATATATTTGTTTTTTTTTTTGTTTTTTTTTATTGTATAATATTTTAAACAATACTAATGTTTTAATAATTATAGATTGATTTTAATAATGGTGGTCTGTTGTATAATTCGTCCAAAATGATCATGAATAAATTAGAAGTTTGGCACCTCTCTGATTCTTGACAAAATACCCCCAAACCAGAATATAAAGAATTGAGGACTCCTTTGCAAGGTAGTGGTTTGATGGCTCTTCTTTCTCAAGAAGACATAGATGATTTGTTTGGGCTTAATTATGATTAGTTTAGATTTAATTAGTCATATTTATTGTATACAATTTAGCAATATGTATTTCTTATATTTTAATTAATAAAATTCGATTGTATTTGTTTGTATTTTAAAAAATAATATTTGATATTTGCTAAATATAAATAATAAGTATATAGTATAATAGTTTTATATTAGTACAATTAGAAAATCGATTAGAACTAATTGTATGATATTAATCGATATTATTTAGAATTTTTTAATCTGATATATATCGATTAATATTGATTACTATTTTAATCGATAGTTCTCGATAGTGGGAATTTAAAATAATTACTATCTAATAACTGATTAAAATCAATAATAATCCTCTTGCAAATTTTGTTGATGATTTTACAGGTTGTAGTATAGTGGTTATGATATATAGCACTGCAAAGCTATATGTTCGAATCCTACTGGTAGCATGTTAGATCTGGTACACCATGGTAGCATTACCAACTAAAGCATAAATATTTACATTTTGCTATTTTTAAAAAAAATTTTTTATAATTCTCTTAATTACTATTATAATTCTTCTTTTTTATATTTTTTATATTGTAACAAATATTTAATACTGCAAATCTATATATTATATTATTTACAATACTATTATTATTCTATCTTTTTATTTTATTTTTACAACTTTTAATCTTTCAATCTCTTTATATATCTTCTTTATATATTTTTCTATTTTTTTTATTTTTTCAATACTGTATTATAACTATATAATATAAATATAAAACAATTTATTAAATAAAGTTAGTTGGAAATATACATCTAAGATCTGAAGATAAGATGTTAAAGGTTTGAGTAACTAGATTATAGGTGGTTCTTACAATATTAGCCATCTTCTATTAACTTTACATTATTCTAGCCTTTACTTTCTTGACTTGTCCCCTTCTACTATTATTAATATCTTTACTAATCTTTTAACTGACTGCCAAAACAAGATTATCACTGACTTTGGTCTAACATCTTCATACCAAGTTCTTAATAGTATCAACCAAGATAAAACTATTACTTCTCTTCTTTGGCATATCTACTATAATCCTCTTATATCCTATATATACACGTCACTCTGGATATACTGATATCTGGATATAATGACATCATAGTAAAATCTTTCTATACTGACATTTTTTTCAAAAATTTTAATATAAAATATTGTTATAACTCACTATATCGACATTTTGAATTTTATTACTAATGTCTCAAAAATGTCGATATAACCAAAGTGACATGTACTCATCTTTCTCTGAATATATATCTAAGGCCTCTTGGTTTACTAATCTCAAACATTTTACTATTAATTAAACTGCTCTGTTCTAGCTTACATGAATAATACTTTTTGAGTTGCATTATCCCAAGAAAAATTATCCAACATTATATCTATTGCAGAATCCTTTTATTTAATAGCAAATATTCAAGTTAATCCTTCTAAATCTATTCCCTCAACTAATTCAAAAACTGCTTAATTATTTTTAACAATCAAGTTCTATCTGTCTATTTACCACATTAGCTATTTAAATTTCTTGGCTATTGGTTCACTCTAAACAACAAACAATCTAAACAATCTTAGCTTATACTATCAGAATCTTTACACCTTATTCAAATTGCTAATACCAAACAAATTACTAATACCCAGGCTCAGTATATTATTAATACTGTTATTATTTCTTCTATAGAATATCAACTTCAAAATATTGTTTTTAGCTAATCCTACTATAATAAAATTCTTTTATAACACATTGGCCTTGTTAAGCACAAAGCCAAACTTAGCTGCACCATACCTACTAGCACTCTTCTACACCCTCAAATTTATAATATTAAAAATATTTGAGATATCCAACTCTAGCATCATATCTCCAACTTTTTTAAATAACTAAACAATAAAGATCTACTTGGGGTATCTATCCAAATTAGAGTACAACAGCTTCAAAACAACCTCTAGTCATCTACTAGTATACTGTTACACCCAAACTCCATTATTAATAGACCCAACAAATACTCTACAAATTTCAAAATCATACAGCTTTTCAAATTTATTAATTATTCTATCAATTTTTTTTTTTTTTTTTTTTTGTAAATTGCTTATACGCTTGTAAATTTTTTATTAATTAAGATCTTTAGAACTTATTACAATTAGATATTACAAGGATTGAGTTGTGCTACACTAATTACTTA